ACATGCCGCCATTTCTGTCCACGTAACTTTAACGAATTTGATAGGTATCAGAGCTTTGATGGCAGGAGGAATAAATTGTGTGTTTTTCTTCAAGTTACTTTTGTGTTAGGAAAGCACAACATTTAAAATATTTTTTAAAAAGCCAAATTTTTGATAGTTAAAACTAGTGCTTTTAATATTACATCACATGACTCTTGACATTTTTTCATATGTCAACTCTGCATATTATTATAAACGCCAACCCCCCCCCAAGGGAAAAAAAAACACATTTTCAGTAGCATGAGGTAAACTCTTGGTGTTTCCTTTGCTAAGGAGATAAAATTACCATGGTCTAAAAATACATGTATACCTCATATTAGAACTATAGGGATGTGTAATTGCATGAATTCATAGGTTCAAATCAGGTTTCATTATTGCTTTTATAATATTTTCATAATTTGTCTGACTATAAAAAATATAATGTTGCTTAGATTATGGAATATATTGCTTATAATTTAGAGTTCTCAAATTTGTAAATCTTACAACCTAACAGCTGTATATGAATAACCTTCTTAAGTATTATTACTTTCATTAATAGTATGTTGACATAACAGTCAACTTTTTATTTTAAATTTTATGCAAATTTTCTACATTACTTAAACATTTTATCTAACAGAAATCTGAATTTTTTGTAATAAAAACTCTATAATAAAAGTAAGAGTACAATTTATATATAAAAATTTGACTACATGGCAAGCACTTAGATACTGATTTCAATGTCTTTAAATGTTATTATCATAAAGTTTAGATATATTCCTTATTAAGTTAAGTTATACTTTTATTCTATTATAAAGTTTAGATGTACAGAACAGAAGGGACACTTTGTACTTACGAGTCGGTCAACCACTTGTGGCAAGATAACTTATGATAACAATTAAGTTCAAATGTAAAATTTAAATTCAAATAAATTTGTAGCCCAAAGGCTGCACAAATCAATTTAATGCAAAGTTGGTTAAAAACTTAACTGGCATGGAATTCAACTATCAGCAATTATAATGCAAGGCTGAAGACTACAAATCTTTTCTTATCTAGCAACCTATTAATGTGGCCTCAAAAGGCAAAAAACAGTTTGTTTTACAAAATAAAAACTTCATTTGGATTCTGATGAGAAAACGGATGGAGGAAATTGACAGTAAAGATCCCAAGAATAAAATAACTCTGGTTACAAAATAAAGGAACGTTACAATATACTTTGTTCCCTGATTAATTATTCAGTACATGAAATAGTGTAATGCATTTTTGTTTGCATCACATACAAATTATTTAGTTTATTTAAATGCTTTCCAAAACTGACAGGATTTTGCAAACATATTGACCATATTTTTTTACCTATAGATGTAACACTTCTTCTCTTCAGAAGTAAGATTTAGAATTAGGAAATAAGAAAATAAGAGAGAATTATGAATAGAAAATAAATACATATGCTGGCTAGCAGAAGAAGGATGCCTTCATAAAGTACTTTTTAAGAGAAACTGGCTCAGATTCACATTACATCTACGGAAAACTACTAAAACTCCCATATAGCCAGCCTGAACTACCACTGTTCAGTGGCTATCACTCCACCACTAGTGGATTCCAATGACTTCGAATTTTTCACAGAAATCATCATTTACGATGATTGTTGTATTATTACCATTGGTACAAAATTTACTCATTATGATAATTTAATTTTAGCTTTTAAATTATAATCATAAATTACTTGTAATAAATTGAGGGATTAAAAAATACAAATTTCTTAATATTTTTACCATTTACAATATTTAATCATAAAAAATATTTCTAACACTGGTACAAAACTTGCCCATTATAATTGAATTTGATTTCCTTCACTTAGAAATATTTTTTTATTTTCTTTTAATAACATAATCTAAGAAACTAAAGTAATAGTATATACTAGTTTGAAATGCATTTATTAACCTTTTGTAAATTTCATTATTCATAAACATAAAAATTAACCTTTTGTAAATTTAAAATATTAGCTAATATATAATAAAACATTATATTTTGTAATTAAAAATATTAACATTTTGTAAATTTCATTACTCATAACATAATAATTGTCATAAATTCATTTATAGTAGTGTTTCAAGAATTTATCATAGCAGTACTAAAAATATTGAAAATTAGAGAAAGACTGTTTATTCTGATTAAGAGCTTATTTTTTAGGATTGTTATTTAGTCTAGATCGGGTTTTGTTGACAATCCGCCATTTTTTTCCGATCTTCAAAACCGGGTCTACCTTGGCGACCGAAGTTTGTCGCCAAATGAAAAAATTGCCAAAAGGACCAATACTAAAGCTGTTCCAAAAAAAGCTTAATATTTATTTGTTTACTTTATCAAACATTTCTTTCATAAGTTGTTTAAGTTGCTTTGTTTTATGTGATAATACTTTCTCTTTAATTCCATAAACAGACATTCTTCAGTTACAAAGTTCCGCTGTTCAAGTCCTATACTTGATGTGTTGAGAATACCGACTAATTTGTCAATCTAAAATTTTTCGTTTTCAATAACCTCTGTGTCACTTTTTTCACTATTGGAAGCGGATTATAACGAAGAGGAATTTGATTTAAATCATCAAAGACGGAGTACATCGAGATGAAATACTACATTTATTAAGGAATTATAAGCGAAATAAAATAAAAACATCTGCCCTGAAGATAAGGATAGTGCTGACAGATCAACTTCCAATTCATTGTGCGCCGCAGCGTTTCTCCCCTCAGCCGCAGAGCAGCGTAAAATTGATAAATAGATTTCGGAATGGTTAGAGAAACGAAAGATATGCCTTTATCCATTTTTTGCAGCAATTCGACTTTTTGTTTAATGGACTTTGAAACATACTTTCGCCTTGCAGATCCTTCACATATTAGTAAATATATATCGGAAATTCTATTTGACATAATCGAAAGTTCAAGCTTACTTTTATAAAATTGCTCTAACAGTCTTCAAAAAATAATAAGCCGGATCCAATTCGAAGATTAAGGAACAATGCAATCTGCAAAATGAACTGAATTAGATAATTTTAGCTTAGCTTATATGTCAGTTACACATTGAACGTGCATGCGCAGCCGTAAAGGTCTTACGTGCATGCGTGGAAAGTTTGTGGCTTTGAGGTCTGGATTATGGGTGTCCGAATTAACGACTTTTCACCGTATAAGCCCTCAGATGAATGGCATCGTCAAATGTGGCAATATACGTTTTGTACTGATTTTTGGCACGATGTTGTTTGTATGGCACCACTTTTGATGTCGAAACGTTAATGGAACACATGACATTTGTCGGAAATGTTCAAACTAAAGGTAAAAATTTTAATATATTTTTTTTAAAATATTTTGTGCAAACATAATGTTAAAAGAGAGGAAGAAAATGCTGTGGGTATGTCACACCCAGCACGAGAAATGCCGGGTTAAGAATTGTATTTTTTTAAGGTAATACTTCTCGAGCAATTTAGTTAATGGCATTCGTTTTTGATAAAAAAGGGAGGGGTCTTTTTCAGGACCATCATAATATGAAAAAAGAAATGAAGTATTGCTAGATACAAGTATAAAATTTTTTTAAAACTCTTTTAAAATAGCAGAATTACAGTTTACTTTTCAATGGTAATCTACTTACATATGCTTCCATCATGCTTTCCTAACCTGAGTTTGTTATTAAATAGCATGTTTAAAGAGCTACTTTTATGTTGCACATGCTTAATGTCCTGCTTTTCTGCTAATTGGATTAACTGCACTAAGTGTTATATTTAACAAGCTAATATTGATTTACACATGCTTAATATGTTTAATCAGCTAATTTTGAGCCAAATATATGCTTGATATTATGCAATGCACAATCATATTCAACATCCTAAATTTGACTCGGTATGCTTTATTTCAAAACTTACCACATATCCATAAAATCGTTACTGTTGGCAAGCATGTCAACAAAAAAAGCCAGTGTCGCCAAAGGGTTCTTTATGGAAGAAAACCCCCAAGTTCTTACTAACAAAGCTTTAAGGGTTGTGTTTTCACTGTTTGGTACATTTTGCAGATATAGTCATACATCATATTAAAAAAAAAATAAAAAAAAAAAAAAAAAAAAAAAAAGGGTTCTATTGCCAACAGCTTCCTTGCGGAAGAAAACTCAAGAGTTCTTACTAACAAGGCTTCTGGGTACTCGTTGTTCGGCATATTTTGCAGATACAGTAATATATCATAATTTCATATACTTATTGAAGGCATTCCAAAATATACTGTGTAGTCAAAAGCACCATCATTGTTTTCAACAACTTTTCATGGATGTGATGACCATCAAGTAAATGATTATACCACAAAACATTTAATGATTCACACTGCAAGTTTTTTAGAGAGTTCCTCTTTTATCAGATTCAAAAGCCAAATATATCTCGGATAACACCTCAACTGAATTTTACCACACTTTTTCAGTTTAAGCATATAACAAATTAAAGTAAATTTCATATAATTAAATAACTAATCATTCCTATTTCCTAAATACAAAGAAATACCACATTAAATACGAAATTTTTTAATACCGCAAAATTAGGACATTTCAAATGAGATTTCGTTTTTCGCACCATGGTAAAACTGCCTTGACAATGGATAGCTTTGACTACAAAATCAACAAGGTATCTTAAAAATTAATCAGGCAAATATGACGTTTTTAAAATTTAGGGCTTGTGCGCTACATATGCATGCATTAAGAGCAAACTAAAATACTTATTCCTACAGAAATAAGAAAAAAGTACTGTAGAGGTAATCAGGTTTGAAAACTCAACCACTACATTAAAGAGATCTGAAAATTTGTACTCAACAATCATACAAGATTAGGCTTAACGGTATAATTCTGCTCGCCACGTGCAACACGGTAAGATACATCACTTTAAATACACATTAAAATCAAATATATGTTAAGAAATGTTAGAAAATAAATTATTATTTACCAACTATCAATCGGAAATATCTTACCAAACAGTTAAGCCTTCATTAAATATAACAAAATCACGCACAAAACCCACACCGTAGATCTACAAAGCCCGAATTTAGAGATCCGATGATTGCCAACTTGTTATCCATAATGTACTCGTGTCGAGCATAGCGGTTAACCGAATAGCTAAAATGAATTTTCTTTCCTTGCTATTTTAAGGTTTACAAACACAAACCTTTAACAAAAATTTCGTCTTTAAAAACTTATTGAAATTATTTCGTAATATGAAATTGGGAATTATTACTAGTACAAATATTTAGTACTTGGTTGCAAGACTATGATGTAATTAGAAATAATAAGCAGCAGTTTCAAAGCGAAAAATTAAAAATTATTTGAAAGTTGATAAGTTTTAGCTTTTTTTATATAAATTATTGCTCCTAGAAATAATTTATACAGGAACAAAATTCAATTAATATTCATTTGAAAATTTGTGATAATTTTAATGCTACAAATGGTTTATGGGGAAAAAATTGTGCTAAAGTAATGTTTTTTTCATTAAAATTTTTAATATTAGAATATTATTTTTTAAATTTCTGTCTCAGAATATGTAAATGAAGGGAAAGTATATGGCAGCATTCTGACAAAAGTAATTTTAGCAAGGGCAAAACAAAACAGCAACTCCAAAAACAGAATGGCGTTAAGAATATATTTGTTATCAAGAAATTGTTGTAAGTTTATTTATTCAGAAAGAGAAAGAGGCTTGTGAATGAAATGAAAATTTTCCATAGGTCACTAGAGTCACATAGTTATTAATATGCGAATATGTTTATAACGGAGATTTCTAATGCTAAAGTGTAAACTGCCCAACAAAATGCGAAAATGAAAGATATAGAAAAGTGACCAGTACGTTTCAGTTATAAGTAAAGAGGGAGCTATTTTAGGAAAGTGAATGAGATTGAAATATTGCATAATACTTAAATAATTCAGAATATTTTTTATAGTTGAGCATGTTTAAATATCACTCCAATTGAAGAACTTGTATATAAGCATAATTCAGTTAACATTTTAGCCTAAAATGAAAGAAGTCAAAATATTGTCAATCAAATAAATAATTTTTTAATGTAGATAAAAAAGTAATTCTAGAGTATATTGAAACAAATTCTATTGGATAAGGGTAAAAAAAAAAATTGCTCTTTTATTTTCATTTGTTTCACTTTAATGTATGATTTTCAAAAATTTAATTTAATTAACTTTTATAAATAAAAAGTGACCAAGTTTATTAAATGAAAATTAACTGAGATAATTTTCATCACATGGGATTTCATTCAATATCTTATTATCAGGTATTTTAAGTTAATGCTATTAATGCCAAATCATTTCTTCAGATATATTTTATATAATGTCTTTAACATACGTAATTAAAACATTAAATGTTGTTGTAAAACTTATTCCACACCCTTAATTTGCTGTTTTCTGATTATCTTCATCCCAACTGATTGCCAACTTAGTATATTGATGAAAAACATCGGTCTTTTTTTTTTTTTTTTTTTAATAAATATGTTTCTTTTCATAAATAATTATAAAAAGAAACATTTTAGGTGAAACAAATTTTACGAGGAAAAATAAAAATGTTTAGCTGATGTTTACGTTCTTATAATTAGTATATCAAAATGCGAACTTTTAATACCTTGCATGAAAAATGTATCTCATCATTTATATTTTTAGCATATGTAAAATATTTGATTTTGTTTTAAATGTTTGGATCCAGGTAAATAAAATATCTAATTTTTATGAAGGCATTGTTTGACTCTTACGAAATACTATGTATTTCTTCTTGAGGTAGTTTTGTGTACACAGTGCGTTTTAGCTAGGCTACTGAATGCTAGTAGTTCATTTTGGATATGAATTCTGGCAAATGAGCTAGTTGCATGGAGACCTAATGATATTTCCCTTGCATAATGAGAATGTTAGCGTCTTTCACATGGACATTTCTTGGGAGGCAGATAGCTCTTGTATATTTTGCTGCAATCAATTAACCAAAAAAAAAAAAAAAAAAAAAAAAGTGCACTGTAAATTAAGAGACTTTGTTATAATTGTTGTTTATTTACATGTTAATTAATATTTTGACTAAGTGTTAAAATATTTTTCTTAGGGGTTTCACCTGTTCATGTGTTTGCATTAACACAGCGTTCTGCACATTCGGATAGTAGTGATGTTACTGCTTTTCAAGAAAAAAAATTTCCAAAAATATCATCAGACATTCATTCATTAAAAAGAGGAACTGGAGGACGATCATCTTTCAATGGCAAAATTGCAACTGTATTTGGAGCTTCTGGATTTTTGGGTCGTGCTGTAGTAAATCAATTAGGTAAGCATTGATTTGTATTAATTTAAAAAATATATTTTTTACTTTTAATGCATAATAAATCATATATTTTAGATTGTCTTACACTTTTCAAAATACTTCATTTGTTAAAAGGCATTCTAGAGTATGTGGTAAAGTTTAAATTTTTCAGCAAAATAATATTAGTTAATTTTGTAACATTTTACTATGATTACTGATATTCTTTACATTATAATAATAATTGTGTATTACATTAGCTCAGTTTTGTTTATCAAACAGCAGTTTACAATTTAATCACAAAGTTCGGTACCTATTAAATAAAAGTATGAAGCAGTAATTCACATGCATTGTAAATATCGTTTTATTGTCTTAGAGTATTTTTGTGTATTATTAACAGTGCAAAGAGTATTTTTGTGTATTATTAACAGTGCAAATATAAGTGAAAAGAAGCTAATTAATTGGGTTTTTTATTTATGAGTACTGTACCCCTTTTCTACAAAGAGGGCCATTGAAGAGGCTTCTGATTGATAAAAAACAACATAAGAATATTAAGATATGTGTGTATTAAGTCATACTTGTGATTTCTATAAAGCAATAATGTGCTTATAATCATGCTTTTATTTTTTTATGGACAAAATTTGTGAATAATTGATTGTAATTTTTTACTTTAGAATAGGCACATTGGGGCAAGACCTCTTCTTATAATTTGCATCGTAATATAACAGTTGTTGAAAAAAAAAAAAAAAAAAAAAAAAAAAAAAAATCAAATTCTCTAATTTTTTAAAATTTCCTAAATTTCACCTGTGCAGTGATGATGATGTACATTATGAATGTAATTGAGGGCAGGGTGGCTACAATTTTGCAGTGCCTATTTTAAAATAACAGGATAAAATTGTTGGGAACTACTCTGGTATGCGCCCTCAAGTCACCAAATTTCTCGCCAAAAATGTTTGGCGAGAAGCTCCACGCTGCCATATTACTATCTAAATATTTTTGTCTACATTTTGAACTTTAAGCCTGAAATGTCTCCAAAAACGGGGTTTTCGCACATGCAAAAACCACGTTTTAAACATACAATTTAAGCTAAAAATCCGAAACTAAAACAAAAAAATTAGATAGCAAAAATGTAAAGTTTCTAATAAAAAATATTTGACAAAAGTCCATGTACATAGCGATATGTTTTAACTTCAAAAAACATCGACGAATGGCACAATCTAGGCAACGAACGAATCTACGAACTACGCACACCTCGCTTTAATAAATTAACATAACAACAATAAAGTTCAAAGAATACCATATACATAGCGTTCTGTTTCAACTTTAAAAAACATCTACGAATTGCACAATCTAGACGCTACATACTAGTCAACAAAATAAACTAAAATTAATTTCAAACAATTAAAAAAAAAAAAAAAAACAATAACAACAGAAATCCATACTAAAAAAACAAAGAACATAACATTTTACAAAATATGAACAAGAATAAAATAAAATGCACTTACCATGAATTAATTTTTTCGAACAGCAGAAATATCAATTTCATACCGCCTTTAACATGCTGCCACGTAATCACTATCGTATTTATATGACAGCCAGACACACTATCCAGAAATTCATACTATGGTTCACAAATAAATAAAATCACAAATTCCTACTTCTATCATGCACAGCCACTAAAAAATAATCTCCCAGACCCTCTTTCCACACCTCCAAATACTCACTGCCCCTTAACAGGATGGCCACGACGATATTTCCTTTTGCCGAACTTCAATTCAACAACTTTCACCATTTTATCTTTTTCCCTTATCTTCTCAGACACAGAGCATGACGCGAACCAACGAGGTCCAGTGAAAGATTTTTCAATGTCAACAGGGTTGCCATAAAACATGCAATCGCGCCAAAAACCAGTGCAGAACACATATCGCCACATTTGGTGAAACTAGGGCGTATATCAGAGTTGTACCAATTGTTGTAGCCATTTGTAATCATAACCATTTTTAGTTAACTACATATTTAATCTTATTTTATTTGCTTTTATTCTCTGTTTTGCTCCCCTCCATAACTACATTTTATGTTCAAGTCATGATCACATTTTTTTAAAGTAATCAACACACGTTTTCTATATGATTATGATATAATGAAGAACTGCAAACATGGCATTTCCTGCATATTGAAATTCTACAACTATTGTAAAAGCATATTGTGAAAGTGTAGTTAAACTACAAGAATAAAAGAAAGGAATAGGTTTGGAAAAAATGATTGAATTTGCAAATGGCTGCAAAATTTGTTTACTTCTGAAGCCTGTATAAATTGCACAAGATTACATTGGCAAGCTAGTTAATGATAGGCTTCAATTAATATGAAAGTACAAAAGCTGGACTACTGATTACTATAGATAATATTACCTTTATTCATTTCTCATATACTTACCTTTTAGGAAATGTATCGTTTCATGAAGAATATTTTTGGCTGTAACATTTATTTGTAAAGAGATTGTGCAGTTTTATGTGGCTGCAGTCATCTTTCAGTTAAAAGAATTCTTTAAATTTCAGTTGATATAGTCTTATTAATCTTTACATTTTAGAACACTTTTTTTAATCAATTTTTACCCATTGGCAGTTACCACAATAATCAGTCATTAATGTCATATTATATACAGTATCCCATAGCTCAATAAACAGAAATGACTTTTCCTGCAATAACAAGTGCTTTAGTATGTTTTTATGTTTTATACATTTATAATGGTACTTTTCTATTATTGGGACAAAATTCAGAAATGTATGGACATATGCATATATGTAAACACACACACATATGCATACATATCATTTCTGAATCCGATTCCGAAAACAGAAAAGCACATTTGTAATTAATGCAGTTATATTCTTCATAGGTTTAATGTTATGTAATCCACATAATAATTTTTTAATATATTATTCAATGGAAATTATTTTAGGGAAGATTGGCACTACGGTTGTTATTCCATATAGAGGTGATCCATACCTTATTAATCGGCTGAAACTTTGTGGAGATTTAGGGCAGATATATTTTACGGTAATGCATATAAAATATCATTTTTTCCTCCTTTTTTTTATTTATTTAATTTTTTTTTATATATTAGTGATATGAGAAAAAGTGATACGAGATTTGATTTATATATTTTAAAATGTTCATATCATCAGAATCACTGATTTTAAATTAGGCAAGACAGTAGCTTCATTCTGATGTAGAATTCAAATAAAACTTTTATTTTTAAGGGCGATCTGACACAGTCCTTCATAAGCCCCCCCCCCAAAAAAAAACTGTTTTGGTCTGTGAAAAATGCAAAAGACATGAATAGCAGATGAAAGAGCAAAACAGCGGGATCTGTGATGACATCATTTTCTTTACTCCAAGAGAAGAGGGCCCTATGTCTGACTACCTTTGAAACTGATAATTTTATTTAAAATCTATGTCAAAATAAGGCTCTTTTGTCTAATTGTAAATTTTACATTGGTATGTTTATCTTCCAATTTGAAAATCACTGATATTTAAACATTTGCAAGTATGGAATATTAAAAATACAAGGCCTGTCCTGAAAGTAATGCGCCCATTTTTTTTTATAAAGAAATTTATTGAACCGATTCGTACAATTACTCAATATTCTTCAGACTACATCCCTCCTGCTTTAACATACTTATGCAATTTCCATGCTTTATGTACATCCTGAAAGTCCATCACAGGAATGTACTTTAGTAACCTTATCATAGCCGCCTTGATGTTCTCCAGGGTCCCCAAATTATGTCCTTCGAGGGATTTTTTTTTTTTAATCTTTGGAAAGAATAAGAAGTCGGGTGGAGACAAATTAGGACTGAAGCAACGTAAAAATCTCCGACGCCATTTTCTCAAGTTTGAAATGAAACTTTGCGTATTGCTGCTCAAGAGTTTTTTCCATCTTGATTTCGACTGAGCACTCACACAAAGGTTCCCTGGAACAGGCACTGTGACTCTCCAGGAGCTCTGAGCCGACTGGCGCTGAACGTGCCGTCTTTCCAAGACTCCACCCACCCCTTCCGTGCAAGCGGCAATGTCATGCGATGGATGGTCGCGGCAGAAGAAAATAGAGCACATTACTTTCGGGACAGACCTTGTATGTAAATTAGACAGTGTTTAATTTTCATTTTAAAATGTAAGATGTAAGTTTTCAGTGTGCAGAAAATGTTAAAACCATTCTATTTCTACCAGTGTTACATCTTGTGTTAGTTATATGATTATTTTTTAATGTCTAAACAGTATTTTTTTATTCTTTTATTTCATATATCTTTTCATATATTTTATTATCTTTACTTCTAATTACAGTTATATGTGATGCTTCTTTATCTAAACAGTGTTTTTATTTTTTATTTGATGTAGTTTTTAATATACTGTATTACTATTCCTGCTAATTACAGTTGTGAAATTATATCTACAAATATATTAAGAGTTTATCATAACTATAATGATCTTAAAATGTTGTTGCCAAGTTCACATAAAAGTTTTCACTACTTTTATTAATGTTATTTAAATTCTTAAAATCTGTTATCATTCTGTATTTTTATTTATCTGATATTTATTGATCATTCCATAAATTTAGCCTTTCTATTTGAAAGATGAAGATACTTTGTATAAATCAATGAAGTATTCAAATGTTGTCATTAATCTCATTGGACGGGATTTTGAAACAAAGTGAGTATAGCTTATTTATTTTATTCTTAATGATAATTTTTAGTTAAACATTGCAATTAAAATGGGTTTGTATTTATTTGTAATTTATGTGTTGATTTTGATGTAATTTTTTTATATATTAAAAATAAATTCTGAAAATTTTGAGTAGATAAATAATGATGATGGGGCAGGCAAGTTTCATGCTGTAAAGATGCAGTTAGACATAGCTTGTTGATATAATTTTTTATTTTTGTCTTACCATTTTTGAAGTAAACACACACTCATATATATATGTAATAGTTTACTGCGTAGGAGGAATAAGTGTTGACTTAATGTTCTTTTGTTTTTCTCATGCAAATTTAGTTCAGAGGCCAATCAGCAATTAACTAACATGGTTGCCACTTATTGGCTGATGATGTAGTATCGGTGGGTTGGCCGATGTTGTGTATATACTAAGTTTGGGAACGTGAGAGAATTTCCTGGGTTTTTTTCTTTTCTCTTTTGTTGTTTTAAATGTACAGGCTACTGTTACAGCCTAGTTTAGTTTATTTAAAGTAATGAAATAAAGATTAGTTTATTTTACTCCCGGCATTTATTTAAAGCAAAGTATACTTTTGCAACTGCTCTAATGCCAAGAGGCTATGGGCCCAGCTCAATTTAACTTTGAGGAATTTAAGTGAAGAAGGCCATTATCTGCAAAAAGAGCTGAAGTGTTTAGAAGTTGGTTACTAGTTGTGCTTATGAGTAACTAAAGATGTCCGTACTACTAGAAGGATTTGAATTATTGAACCATGACAACTGGGACCGATGGAAAGTCGATATAAGGATGCTGTTGCTAGACAGAAATTGTTGGAGCTTCATATAAGGAAAAGAAGAAATATTGGATAAAAGTGCAACAAGATGTGACAAGCAGAATTTCACTTTGAGAGAAAACAGAGCCTTCACTACATTATATTATGGAATTAAAACTGAGTTCAGGCTATTGATACAAGAATGTTCAAGTGGTAAAGAAGCATGGGAAATTCTCCAGAAGCATGTTGAATCAAAAACAAGAGCCGGAATAATGCAGCTTCTTGATAAATTTTTCAACATTAGATATGCATCTGATGAAGAAATCGGGCTGTTCGTCGCGAGAATAAAAATGACTGTGAAGAAGCTGGCTGAAGCTGGACACAACTTAGGAGATCTTTTTAAAGGGTTTCAAGCAGTTTGGAGGTTACTCCAGGATTCTGTAATTCATTTATAGGTGGAAGGACGAGGATTTTATGCTGCAAAAAAAATTATGAAGAACTGGTGAGGGAAGTCAACTTCGCCAGGTACAGGCAAATTTAGAAGACAGCAAGGTAAGCATATAACACAAAAGCTGGAAAATAGTCAATTTGGAAGTAAAACTAAAGAAAAAAGTGGGGAGTATGAAGAAAGGACCTTGTTATAGATGTCATGAAAGTGGACACTTAATTGCTCAGTGTATAGAAAATTTAAGTAAAAATCAGAAGTTTAAAGTGGATGATAAAAATGGGCAGTTTAAAGATAAAGAGTTAATGTTAGTATAAAATGATGTGTCAACTACAGATAAAGAAGGTAATGCAGATAAATTTAATTGGGTCGTAGATATAGCAGCTACAACTCATTTCTGTAATAACAAAAATTTAATGATAAACTTTGAGGAAATAGATGATATAAGTATGTCTCTAGGTGTAGGAAATTGTGAAAGTAAAGTACTAGGAAAGGGTACCGCCGAATTTGCAGTAAAAGTAGGCTTTTTGTAAGTAAAGTAGTTTTGCTACATGAGGTAGTCACTGAATTTGCCATCCCTCTAGATGTAGAATAAGTAGAAATATAAAAATAACTTGTAGGAAAATAAATTTAAATTCTATGCTTATTTTTAAAGAAGAATTTTAATTCATACATTTAAAAAATAATGCTATTATTATTATTTGTTTTGAAAATCATAGATGACATCTTAGAGGTCTACTTGATTGCCCCATTATCTGTAACATAGTATTCATAAATGTAAAATAAAATTTTATAGTTTTTTTCTCTAGTTAACTCCACTGTGAACATTCAAAGCAATTTCTTCAGTCTTTGAATGATGTTCTGCTATGTTTTTATTTCATAATTTTCTGTTAATATATTGCTTGTGCTTTAATAATGATGCTCTGTTATTTTTCTTTACTACTTAAATTTCTCTTCATTTATTGCTTGTGCTTTAATAATGACTAAAAATTTCATCATTAAATGGATATGGAATCATCTGAAAGTAAAAGTGTTTATTTACATACCATGCTTTCAATAAATACTTTTTGCGAACATTACTTCTTTTCCCATACCTTCAGACTAAATCAAAAGCTGGTCAGCTTAATGGGGAAAGGAAGCGAGGAAGTTGAATTAAAATCAGCTGCTTTTATCTTAATTACCAGTGTTTGGTTTATATGATTATGGCAAAGCCTCGAGGGTTATATGGCTTAAGGGGAGGGATGCCTTTCTGGAGGACTTTCTAAGGGAAGCTGGCTCATATACATGTTACACATGGGGAAAACTGCAAAAACGCCATTCAGCCAGCCCGTGCGCAGGAATTCGAGCGTGAAATCGAACTACCAGTGTTCAGTGACTTTACTGCTCGGCTGCTAGTGGGTTTCTTAATTACCAGTGTCCATTTATGTATTATAAATGCTGATTTTTATAGACACCATAATAGCAAGTAAATAATACAGTATTAACTTGCTGCATGTTTGAAGCAGATTTGAGTCTAAGCAAAGAAGTTGATTGGATGGTGTCTTTGTTGTTTTTGCCATGTGTAATGTGAATACAAAGGAGTTTTTCTCTTTTTTTTTAATATTTAAGCAATTTACTCTTTTAGCGGAGGACCCTTATCTTTATCAGGTTAAGAGACATACCAGTAACTAAGTATTTAAAATCACGGTACAGTAATATATTGCAAATCAATTTCAAATTTATTTTTATGGAATAGGCTAAGTGTTTTGAAAGGTTTCTTCTTGTGTAACATTTATGTGTATATATATATACATGCCACTATCCTGATATAAACCTATTTGAAAGCTTTCTTGTCTGTCACTAGATAGCTCTCAAGTGATTTGTTAAGTTAATCTAGGAATATTAAGGCTAATTGATTCAACTTTTTATCAGAGGCAAACAATAACATTCTCAATTCCAGAAGTGATATGTAGACTATCCACTTAAAGAAGATCCATTTAACAGAAAACTTTTATATATGCTTTTCTTCTTGCATTCCAGTTTAATGTTCAAGGTATAGAATATATAAATTTAGTAGTTTTGCTTATGTAAGATGTCTGAAAATTTCTTAAATTAAAATTCTAATTAAAAAAAAGTTCATTCATCAATTTTTGCTTACTCTCTGGTTTCTACATTGGGATTTTTCAATACATAATACATATAATCTTCATATTATGGAAAGAAGTGATGAATGAAAGACTATTTGAATTTTTTCTTCTGGAATGACCTTCAACTATACTTTAAAATTTCTTGTATTATTTGCACATCGTCACATTTTTTCCACGTCAGCTCAATTTAGTACTGGGGTATGAGGAAAAAGTTGCAAAATGTAACTGGATGATTAAGGGGCATGATGGTGCGATTGGTTGATTTTAGCCTCGTACTGCTTTCTGTGCACATATAGTATTGTGCCGAAGATATCAATTTCTAAAAGTCAAAACATCTTATATAAAGCATTCCAGACATTTCAGAAATGAACTGTAAACTCTGAGAAAGTCTGAAATAAAGTAAACATAAATTTATCAGCAGCCCTTGTTCTTATGGAAGACTGTGGAGACAGAGTTTTTAATAATTTTTTTTTTTTTTTTTTTTAAATTTTCTGCTCCATTAGATATCAGATGTGATCTTGGTGAGTGAAAAGTGCATATATTGCACACCTTCTTTCATTCAAATCATAAAAGCAGTCACTTCTTTTACTAATTTCTGCTTATTTTCAGCCATCCTTTGTATGTATTGAAGTATCCTTTGTTTGTACTGAAGTCTTCATTGATCACTTTAAAGATTTCCTTTCCTTTTGTTTGTCTCTGAAGCAGATAATGATTTTGTGAGTCATAGCTGTAAAATGTTATGAGGGAGTAATGGAAGAAAGGTGTGTATGATATTCTGGGAGGTCATTTTTACTTGAGTGTATGTAGAAAAAGTAATAAATTAAAAAGGGAATCAATGAGCAGACTAGCTGTCTGGTATTGTCCCCCATAATCAGGAAGTTAATGTTAAGTTTTTCATGGTACATCAGTTGGAAAGTACTACATTAAACAGATAAATATTTTTTATGTTGAAAACTAGATTATAGGAAATTATTCTATGGAAATGAAATTTATGTGTGTGACGTAGTGTACCTCGAAGGCTTATATGATGTGCATTCAACTTAAAAGCAAAATATACAGGTATAATTTGAAAAAAATATTTTTTAAATCCTATAGTATTAATAATTATTAGAACTGAAAACATTCAAATTAAAACCTGGCTGTTTTATTGCTGATAAAGTAGCACTAGTTTATTTTATAATTTATGTGCAATTATTCTAATTTATGTCTGGAAATGCTAAGTAGCTTCTTTTGTAACTGAAGAATTTTATTTGAAAATTCTTAGGATGTATTTAGTTTTAACACTTAATATCAAAAGCATTAGATATTTGATTTAAAATTTATTAAGTACTGTGTGTTAAATTGATTTGGTCAAACTAATTTTTTTAACAGAAAAATTAAATGCTAACATTAAAAATAATATATGCTTTTTTTCATTGAAATATTCACTCAAATATTTTATTTAAAGAGTTTTTATTTTTTAGAAATTTCCCTTTTGAAGAAGTGCATGTCAAAGCTGCGAGAAATATAGCTCGTATAGCAAAAGAACTTGGTGTTGAAACTCTTGTTCATGTGTCAGCCTTGAATGCAAGGGAAAAACCAGAACCTATAATCCTTAAGAAGGGATCCAAATTTTATGCTACAAAAGTAATATTATATTGCAAATTAATTCAAGTAGTTTACATCTATTGCAGTTTTATTTCATATTTTTTTTTCACTTAACACAGTGATGGGGTTAAAAAAAATTTGATAAGTTGGTTTGCTGCCTAAATAAACAATAAGTAGCTATACTAACTAAATATAAATAAATTGCATAAATAAATATTGTAATTCAGTTAAAAAAAATTTTCTCTGAACTCAAAATACACTCTGTTGTGCAAAAATATTATGTACCGAGAAAGAATTGAGCCATAACTACGAACGTGGCTGTAGTGTAGTGTTCAAGTAGATAAACAAATGATCGAAAACTGGTATGAAAAAGAGCCTTTTATTTATGAGTAGCAATACAAAGAATGTAAAAATCAGTAGGTGGTAAAACCCTACAGAATACTCAGTTGTGCCCAACTCCCCCCTGTGTTAGATTGTGCCACAAGTGGAGCAACTGGTCTGTGAACTAGGATGTATCTGTACATGGCTAAATTTGCCTGCCCAGCATGTCCCAAACATGTTCGATATGTGACAAGTCTTGAGACTTGACAAGCCAGTCGAGGACATTAACACAACAAAGACATTGTGTGGAAAATCATGTTGTATGTGGCCAAGCATTATTAATACAACAAAGACATTGTTTGGAAAATCATGCTGTATGTGGCCAAACATTGTCCTGCTGGAAAACAGAACCTGGATGACCTGCTAGTATAGGTAGCAGATAATCTAGGTTCTGTTTTCCATCGGTACCATCAGGTGTAACAGTACAGGAGTATGACCTTCAGTACGATCGGCTGCAAAATGCCATCAACATACCTGCAAGCACTTGGAGTACCTCACACTATGACTAATGGTGAATGGCTGTCCCGGCTGTTCACTTTCCAGACTGTCATACATTGTGTTCTGGCCTTGTGCTGCTCGGTAACAAATAATCCATTGGACCATTCTCCTCTCTGTCTCCAGATACATATGTGGAAGTTATCAGCATTGAGAGAAAAGCATGATTTGTTGTTTTAAGATCACATTTCTCAAATCAGACACTGTCCAGCGTGAGAAATGTACTGTGCAAGATGGCACTGCTTATGGGGAAATGTCAATGGCAAGCATCGTTAATGGATGTCGAGATCTGATGTGGACATGGTAGCGCTTCTAATTGAGTGATCATCTCGTGTACTTATGGCTTAAGAATGTCACGAGATGCTACGACAGCTGTCTATTCCTTTGCTGAGCTACTAGTTCTAACAATAGACAACGGTCATATTGCTTTGATCAATAAGCTGTCCAATCTGCCTGTTCAACCAACCAACCTCTTTTAGCTCTATGATGCGAACTCTCTGGAAGTGTGATAACTGTTCATAACACCACTGAGTACATCTTTAGGGGGATCCATTATTACAGTGTTATACTTCCACGCCATCAGCGTAGTTGTAAATATTCATCACTTGCTGTACCTTCCTTTTTTCATTCTACCAGCTGTGCACTTCAGACATGCGTTGTATCATTCCACAATGCTGATTAATGCTGTAAGTTTTATCATTTACAAACTTGCCAAAACACATTTGCGTGCTGTGTTTCGTAGTTGTGGCTCAATTTTTTTTTTTTTTTTTTTGGATTGCGTGTATTTTCAGTGGACTGTATATAAGTAACAATTCCAGGGAAATAGTTCAAACTGGTTTATTGTCACAAAGGCAATAAACCAGTTTTAGCAGCAAGTTTTAGCATATAGGCTTTAGTACAAGTTTAATAAATATGAATCATGTGCATGAATTATCACTGTTTGACTGCAGGTAGATTATAAGTGCTTGAAGGATGAGGCTGTCTATCTCGAAGGGGAAGAGAAGATTGCAAAATTATTATTTTTTAAATTTTCAGTTAACCAGAATTAACATGATTCAGAAGTCAAACAACAAAAATCAGCGTTAATTCACAAAATTTTCACAGGACTAGTTTCGATGGTTTTACCGAACCATCATCTTCAGCTGCAAAACCGCAAATGAACAAGATAGGAAATAATGTTTAGATAAGATAAGAAAGCCTGGACAAGAATAAGCAAGTGGCGCCATCTGTTGGCGAAACCAGAACTAAAACATAATTTCTCTAAAGCCGAAGGCAAATTTGGATTGGAATTAGGATCGTTAACTAGAACAAAGTTTATGGAACAAATAATAAATATTTATTCCCGCTGCCCCAAAACCAAAGATATACAGAAAAAAATCTTTCATGAGATATTCCTTAAAATGAGTACGGACAACATATTCATGAGCATATAAAATAAGCATATTTTCATTTGTATTGAGCATACTAGAGTGCAAAAATTTTTAACGACAAAACGCTTATAACGTTTTAATAATTTAGGTACATACTTTCATATACTGAGATAATAACAAAATTATTTAAAAGAAATATGCCATCCTTTAGCACAAAAGATCTCTGTAATTCTTTAAGTATGTAGAGTCAGTACTTGTGCATATTTGTTTTACTTCTTTATCATGTATTTTTACTTCTTTATCCTATCTTATTTTATTTTATTTTACTTCATTATCATCATATTTTTATAGCATTTTTAATCATGCTCTCTTTTGTCGTACAATACATTTTGTTAAGGAGCCTAGTCACGTTGAAATATCCCTGCATAGAATTTCGAGAGTGGCATAATCCTGGATTTTAAAATTTCTATATTCTTTGATGTATTCATTTCATCAATAGGGACTAAATTTTCAATACCATCTGCAGTGAAACAAACCTTAAAACATTTGTTTTTGAGCGTATTTTACGATTTGTCGAATATGTTGATGTCGTATTGATTCACCCTTGCTTCGTCCGACTACGTTAGATGTGTATCCATGAACAAATAAATGAGTTTCATTGCTGAAAATGACTTTTTCCAGTCATTTTGTGGTCCAAAATTTGTATTTTTTTGCTCCTAATGATATATCAAGTGTTGGTTTTCCGACCAGCAATGGTAAGTCTATGCTGTACGCTTGAAGAGTTAATATCGATACCAATAGATAACAGATTTCGTTTAAGGTCTTTGCTAGTTTTTATTGGATTACTAATGCCATTTTATAGTAGATATCCACCAGCGTTTGAAGTTGCTTTCCTTTTCCTTCCACATTTGCCTTTGGAGAAAATGATCCAGTTTCATTGTGTTTCCTCAGAATT